TCTTTGATCAAATACTCACTGAGACGATTATACCACATTCGTCCAGATTGTTTCAGACCATACAATGATCGCCTTAATTTGATCGAGAGCATACCTCGTGGTTTATTACTTGTTTCAGGCAACTTAAGTCCTTCTGGGACTTTCATATAGATGTCAGTATCTAATTCTCCATATAGATACGCAGTGATGACATCCATAAGTCGCATGTCAAGTCTTTCTGAAACCACTAAACTTATTAAGTAACGGAACGTAATTGCGTCCATTACAGGAGAGTATGTCTCCTCATAATCAATTCCAGGTCTTTGAGAAAAACCTTGTGCAACGAGTCGTGCTTTGTATCTTGCGATCTCGTTTTTCTCATTGCGTTTCCTTGTGAATACCCATTTGTAACCCACGGGGTTTACACTAGGCGAGGTTTGGACTACTGGTCCAAAAACATTCCGTTTTTCCAAGGAATTTAATTCTGCCTGGATTGCATCTTTCCACTTAGGTCAATCTTGTCTCTGTTTGCATTCATCAACAGAGCGGGGCTCAATATCATCACTTAAGATGATTTCAGTGGCTACTGCAAATGCAAACATATCATCAATGATTATTTCATTCCGATCCCACAATTCATTTGTACATGCATAATTTATGGAGATTTCTTTGCTTTCATGTACTTTTGTCTCTTCAGGGACAGATGTCTCATCAGGGACATTTTCTTTTTCTGGAAGTCCAGAATTATGAATTGTGGATGTATCATTCATTTTCTCTTCCTGAATGACTTCATTTGGATTCAGTTGTGCTCTCGACTTTCTCTTTCGAGGAGCTGAATCTTTTGAACCTGGGGGTCTACCACGCTTCAGGCGTGCACCAGATGAATCATTTGCTGCCACTTTATTTTGTCCAACAGGGACATCAATTCTTGCAGGTGCATTTGCAGCTGGTATATGTGATTTTGTCACTTTCATAGCATCATTAAATGCATCTGGCATTTGATTGGCAATGCTTTGAAGAAATGATCCTTCTCACTTCATTTTCACATTGAATGCTGCGAGGATCAAAATGAGACAAGGTGGGAACAACCCATGTCAGCTCTTTCCGTTCTTCTGGAACGGTCTTTTCTCCCCCTAACAACGGGAAAATTGTCTCATCAAAGTGACAATCAGCAAAACGAGCTGTAAACATATCATCTGTCAAGGGTTCCAAATATCTAATGATAGATGGTGAATCAAAACCCACGTAAATTCCCAGTCTACGCTGAGGTCCCATTTTAGTGCGTTGCAGCGGTGCAATAGGCACATAAACAACACAACCAAAAACTCGTAAATGGGAAATGTTTGGCTGATGTCCAAACACGAGTTGTACTGAAAGAGTATTGATGGTTGGCTATAGGCCTCAATCGAACCATTGATGCAGCATGTAAGATAGCATGTCCCCATGCAGAGACTGGCAATTTGGTTTTCATAAGCAGAGTGCGAGCTATTAACAGAAGCCGCTTGATCAATGCTTCTGCTAAACCATTTTGAGTATAGACATGAAGAACAGGGTGTTCAACATCAATGCCCAATGTCATGCAATAATCATCAAAGGTTTGAGACGTAAATTCACCAGCATTATCAAGTCGGATTGACTTAATGGGATAATCTGGGAACTGTGCTCGTAACTTAATCATTTGAGCAAGAAGTCTCACAAAGGCTACATTCCGAGTAGACAAAAGACAAACATGTGACCATCGGGTAGATGCATCAACCAAAACCATAAAATATCGAAATGGTCCACATGATGGTTGAATAGGCCCACAAATATCCCCTTGAATTATTTGCAGAAATGATGGGGATTCAGCATCAACCTTTAGTTGTGATGGTCTAATTACCAACTTCCCTTGAGAACAAGCTTTGCAAGGGTTATCATTTGAGGCAGCAATGTGTCTGCTCACTAATGGATGTCCATTAGAGTTGGTAATGATCCTACGCATCATGGTAGATCCTGGATGACCTAGACGGTCATGCCAAAGCATGTAAACCTTTGAATCAATGAACTTCTGGTTCATGACAGTATGTGATTCAATTGTCCTTATGTATGTATAATATAATCCACTCGAAATACCACGCAACTTCTCCAATATACGCTTCTGGGTATCATTGGAGGTAATGCATAGATACTCCACATTTTCTGCACTTTTTGTTTCAATGTGGTATCCATTTAGACGTATGTTTTGAAACTCAACAAATTTCGAGTAGATCGAGTAGCATACAATTCATTCTGTATGGACAATATTGTTCCATTTGGTAACATAATCTGGGCTTGCCCTGAACCTTGAATTACATCTGAAGGTCCTGATATTGTTGTTACCCCTACTCTTGTAAGTCTTAAGCTTGAGAAATATTTTCGATCACGAAGTATTGTATGTGTGGTTGCACTGTCTGCAAGACAAATATCTCCGCTATTTCTCATGTTCTGAGAATAACCACAATTTTTGTCCATGCTCTCTGAGTAAGAGAATCAGAGTTAAAAGCAAGTTATAACAAGAAATTTACATGTCACTTTTATTGAATCTGAAAATACTACAAGTTCACCATAATAAAAGTACATTAATGATTCAATCGGACCGGTATACTTCATTTCCCCTTTCCACAATATAGTCTGAAACATCTAGATGAGTTGTGTTCAACTGCCCTGATAAGTCAAACACTGGATCAGGTATATCCATTGGTCTAGCCTAGTCGAGAAAGTTGGTCTCGACACCATTCTCCTTGAGGGAGGCTTGATACAGATCCACTAGATGTTTTGAGGTACGACAAGTACGCGCCCAATGCCCATTGCCACCACACATATGGCAGGCTCCTTCAGAGTTTCTAGGAGCATTGTTCATATGAGCTTTGCCTTTGTGGCGATTCGCATTTTTAAAGCTCGGGCCTGAATTATTCCTGGGAACCTGGTTATGAAACTGAACTCCATGGTTCTTGCCTTTCCTATTCCATCGACCTCGCTTGTGGCCACGTCCTCGTTTATGATTATCACCACCAGAGGATGTGGCGTTCACTTCGAGGGAAGCAACATTCACTTCTAGGAATGGTGCAGATCCAGTAGGTCGGGAATGATGATTTTTCATCAGGAGCTCATCATTCTGTTCAGCTACTAAGAGCACAGATATCAGCTGGTTGTACTCAGTGTAGCATCGCGCTCTATACTGCTGCTGCAGAAGCACGTTGGAAGCATGAAATGTGCTAAGAGTCTTTTTCAGCATATGCTCCTCAGTAATAATATCCCTACAGAGCTTCATCTGAGAGGTAATTCTGAACAATGCAGAATTGTATTCTGCCACTGACTTGAAGTCTTGAATCCTCAGATGAGTCCACTCATAGCGGGCCCTTGGAAGAATCACCGTTGTCTGGTGATTGTATCTGTTTCTCAAGGAATTCCAAAGAGCTAACAGATTTTCAACCGTTAAGTACTCGCTCTTTAGCGCCTCATCAAGATGGCGGCGAATGAAAATCATGGCCTTTGCTCGATCTTGAGAGGATGAGTTGCTCTCTTCCCTGATGGTATCTCCAAGATTCCCTGCTTCCAGATGGATCTTGGTATCCAGTACCCAGGTCAGGTAATTCTTCCCGGTAATATCCAGGGCAGCAAATTCAAGCTTCGCCAAGTTCGCCATTTTCTTTTCTGAAAGAAAATGAGATATGTAAGAACTTGCAATAATATGTATTCCTGGAGGAATATGATGTTAGAACTTCTGGTTCTTACAAATTTTTCATTTTGATCTTCAGGCCAAAATGATAAGCACTCGAAACTTCTGGCTCGAGATTTTCAGGGTGAATGAGAAGGGCGATCGTACCGCACCATTCTCATTGAAATAATGTAATATAGAATGGACGATTATTCCGCACCACTCAAGTAACAGGAAAATTAAATATGCAGAGCAGCGTGGGCGATTATACCGCACCACATAAAATTGCAATGAAATTAAACAGCAGGTAAATTCGAATATGCAGGGTAGGGTGTGCGATTATACCGCTCCACCTAAAAATTGCAGTAAAATTAAATCTGCAGTCCAAGATAGGCGATGATACCGCACCGTCTTGGATCGCAGTAAGAATAAATTTGTAGTTCAAGATGGGCGATTGTACCGCACCATCTTGGATTGCAGTAGAATTAACATAAATAAATACTGGGTTAGTAATCAATTTCTACACTAAACAAGTAATCAAAGATGTATGTAACCGTTAGTTGGAGAACTAAGAGCAGGCATGGAGCAAACAACTCGTCGCGAGGTTACACGGCGCAGTTGAGGCAGAGGAAGAAGATGAACAGTAAAAACCTTAAAGGAAACATTTTTTTTTTCTTTCTTTCGTTCGTTCGGCGAAGAGAGATGAGAGAATAATTATATTTTAAGACTCATGCTGATAACGTGTTATAAAAGGGTTAAAGTTTGAGAGAATAACCTTTTTGGTAGTAGGTGCAAGGTAGATGTAAAATGCCACACTAAAACTTATAGCACAAAAGGATAACAAATAAAAGGCAGAGGAATAGATGATGTTACTGATATTTCTTTCTTGTTTTCTTCTTCTTATATTTTCTGTTCTATGAAAACATGCGGAGTGCTCTATTTATAGAGCAACTCCAAACTGATGCAGTTAATGCATCTTGAAATTTATGAAACTTCGTCTGACTATACAATCTCTTTCACTTTGCATGCACATTGAAAACTTTGCCCATGCAGAAGACTTTCACAAATGAAACTGTGGGCATTCATTGCCCATGAGACTTTTCAACAAAAACTCCAAACTATAGACTAAAAATTAAAAAGTGAAATCAAAATGGGCTCTCAACAAAATTGAAAGAAGACTGGGCTCAATTACTGAATTCAGAGCAGGGCTTATTAACGCTATGAGGCCTAATGGATCCGCATAAATATTTTTCGTTATTATTACTTTTAAATCAAAATTAAAACCTCTTGTTTACAAGTTATAGCAGGCTTGTTATTTTATTTTATAAGAAAAAAGAATGAAAGCAATGAACAGCTGCACATAAACTATATACAAAAAGGAATGAAATGAAGAGGAGTGGGAGACTAACGTTTAATTCAAGATAAAGAAAGAAAGGTAATCGCGTTTCCAAAAGCCAAAAAAGAAAGAAAGGTAATCGCACCACGACGGCGGCGACGTGACGGTCATTTAACGGAAAATACCAGACAAATCAGCCTCCAGATCAAGTCTTCAAGGGCACAACTCTGAAAAATCGAGACTACCTACCGCTGAGCCCCGACCAACCGTTGATGGAGGCAATCAGGAAGCTCAGAGATCAGGTCGCCAAGCAACAGCAGGTACTCTCTCTCGTTTGATTCCGAATTTGTATTTCTGTATGGATTTTGATATGAACATAATCTGCGTTGATTGCGAGATACTGAGATTGCTTAATGAAATAATATTTATATAATTGTTCGAGTTGAATTGGATCGATTCGAATTCGAATAGATTTTTCACTATTTCTGCTCTGTTTCGGGATGTGTTGGAGTGTAATGTTGCTGAATTTCTGAAATTTTGAGCTAGGCGTTGCTAATTACTTATCGATTTTCGGATTTAATTGGATGCTTAATTTTTACATTTTCGGAAAACTTCAAGCGAAAATGGCATATAATTCAACGTTCTATGCTTCATTAATGCATAAGAGTTAGTCGAAGCTTTATCGAGTTTGCTTTTGATTATTTTGTGAACACCGTCAGGCTGTGTTCAAACAATTTTCTGGTGGCATATATGGGGGATCGGATAATGTTGCCTCGGATGAAAATGAATTTCAACAGCATCAGAAACTCGAGAAGCTGTACATATCAACTCGTGCTGCCAAGGTTGCTACGCTTATTTTTTGTCTGTGCTTTTAACGAGCATCACGTTAGTTGTGTTACCTATCGTTTTTTGCTTCTTCTTTAACAGCATTACCAAAAGGAAATTGTCCGCGGAGTGGAAGGTTACATTGTGGCCGGTTCAAAGCACGTTGAAATAGGTATGTTGCTTGAAATGCGTTGTCATTTCTTGGGAGTTTGGATGTGAATACATGTTGGTTTTATCAGTTGCTATACATAATACTTTTTCAACAGGTACCAAGCTTTCTGAAGATAGCAGGAAATATGGTTCTGAAAAGACTTGCACCAGTGGTAACACACTGGCGAGAGCTGCACTGAGTTTTGGAAGAGCTCGGGCCCAAATGGAAAGAGAGTGCGGAGTTCTACTTAAAGCCCTTGGCACACAGGTTTAAGTTAAATTATTACTATACAATGCTTCATATTAAGTAAAAATCAAATATTGCCAGGGCCGGTTTCATACAAATGGAATTTCAACTGACTAATTTCCGTGTGCATTTGATCATTTCGAAAGAAATTTACAGTAAAAATTGTTTCCATTTTCATGTGTGGTTCAAGAACTGGACTGCTTTTTCTGTTGTTATGCATCATATGACAAACTGGTTCACCATTTCTTTCTATAGGTTTGCGTAATAACTCTTTCTGTGCTTATCAATTTGCCCGTGTAGGTTGCAGAGCCTTTAAGAGCAATGATAGTGGGAGCGCCCTTGGAGGATGCTAGACATCTTGCTCAACGATATGCTAGAATGCGGCAAGAAGCTGAAGCTCAGGTATATGCAGTTTCTTCTGTTTCCTACCAATTTTATACTACAGTGATTTTATATGTTACATGGTGATCATACATTTTCTCGGTTAACCTTTTTTGTTTTCTTTTAAAAGTGTTTGTTCATTTTGAGACAATCATGCATTGGTATTCATCATAGAGAACGCAAAATCTTAAGATGTTTAATGTAAACTTGTTGAGATTGCTTCATTACTTGAAGCTTTGTTGTGAGTTGGCTTTTGGTTTTTTTTATTACTCCTTCAGATTTGTCTATATATACATACTAACTTGCACCGGGATAGGCTATAGGTGTTTCCAGACGCCAGGCCAAAGTACGGGATTCTGCAGGTAATTTATGAACCTAAGGGCTCTGATACCACATGTTAGCATAAACACAACACCAAGATCATGCAAAGCAAGTTACCACGATCAAAACACAGAACCATAAACCATAAAGCAATGCACAGAGAGAAAACATACCTGCAGAAGAGTTCGAAGCTGCTGCCATGTCTGATTTCTGCAGCAAAGTCGTGGTGCACCTTCTCCTCTCTTCAGTGAACGAGACTCTCAACTAATAATAGGTCTTAGTCTTATATCAAGTACTCACTGCGAGAGCAGAGGCCACCATATATATACTATACAATCTTAGCCAAATTCTATAAGGATTCCCCTATTAAAATCCATATAGAATACCAATTCATTCCAAATAGCAATCCAGTTACAACATGGATTTACAAATCCATTCCCAACAAGACTTCCTATTCAATTCTAATCCTACAACCAAGTTTACCGATTCATACTCATGCTCATATTCTAACATATAGATGTTTCCAGATGCCAAACCAAAGCACGGGATTCTGCAGGTAATGCTGATATTATCATGAAACTAGAAGCTGCTGAAGCCAAGCTTCAGGAGCTGCAGTCTAGCGTTGCAATATTGGGAAAAGAAGCTAGTGCAACTATGGCTGCTGTTGAAGGTCAACAGCAAAGATTGACTCTTCAGCGGCTTCTTGCAATGGTAAGGGATTGCCTTCCCTTTTTTATTTAAGTATTAAGACCTTGGCCTGTTCTAGTGACAAGACTGAAAAGGAAATTAATTTTGTAAACTTGTCATTTTTCGTCCCAATTCAAGTTTGAAGCAGAGCGCAACTATCATCCAGAACATTCTTCAGATACTTGATCAGCTTGAAGGCGAGGTATGAAATATCCTAAAGTCTTCCTTTCAGCATGAAAATTTCTTTTCCCAATTCATTTGGCTGTATATTATTCTAGTGTCTTGCTACTAAAAGCAGAGATCATTGACACTATTTGTTGGGACAGATTTTGTCAGAAAAGCAGCAAATTGAAGCATCGCATAGTCCGCATACAGAGGACACTATGCCTCCACCACCATCGTATGAGGATCTCAGCCGTAGCTTTGCTTCTGAAACCTATGATGAATTGACAGGGTTGAGGGACTATTTCTTAGGAGAGGTATCTTTATGCTAATGTTGTTGTATCCAAGTTTTAGTCTGTTCGACTCTTTAGTTTCTAGTTACTGTTTCTTTTCGCCTACCGCAGGTTATGTACACCTTCCATGCTGTAACTGATGTGGTGTTAAGTTTGTCATTCGGGGATTACGTTGTCGTCCGGAAGGTTCTGTCGTCTTTCCTGCTTGCATGCTTTCATCTTATATTCATGTTCGGATTTATTTCTTTCGTATTGAGGTTAAATTTTCATGTTCAGAGACGTCCACTCAGGTATGTTCGTCAATGCATATGCATTAGCACACCACCGAGTGCATTAGAATATGGATTTCAGTTTTGGGTGCTGCATGCATTAAAGTAGTTTGTGTGGTTTTGGTTTTTGCTGCCGCTGAGAGCATGAGTGGTTTTCTGTAGTTGCTGAGAGTTATATTGTGAGCAGAATTCATACAGCAGCTTTCATATACGGCACATGTAGTCGGCAGCACTGCATTTAGAAAGAGAAAGTTATATTTTCTTCACTGTTTATTCAAAACTTATATGTTGCATGTTCTGGCTTTTAAAGTGAGTCGGCATAAGAGTCTTTATTTGAGAAAAATCAGTTTTGTGTCCATGTGTTTTCAAAGAAAATATTTTAGTTTTTAATCACTGATTTTTCATTGTGCTTCAATTAGAAATCAATTATGAATGTGCCTTGTGATTTTTGTAATTGGTTGATTTCAAAAAATCATTACATTTCATACATTCTGCATGATCACGTTAATATCTTCAAAGTTTGAGGAGATAGTGATTGACGGCCACGTTAGTGTCCTGCCACTTCCACTTGAAGGCTGAAGAGAGATTGAGTAGCAAAGCGCAGTGAAAAAATTGCCTACTAGTATGTGGGTCTAGTTGATGAGTTTTGTAAGTCTTTTTGTACTCATTTTTCTTATTGTTTGTCCTGATTTAAGAGTCTGAGAATTTTCTCAGTGGTGAGTTTTATCTTGTTAAATCCTACATCATGTGTACACATGTTATTTGTCATTTTAATTACAAATGTGTAGGATAATATTTCACTTATTTTCTTGCAGTGAACTCTATCTTAGACATTCATCAACATATAGAGTTTATGACATAGGACTTTGCTACTATATTATTCAGTGCATTGATTAATGTGTAAAGCGCTCATTTATCCTAATTATAAAATATAATATGTTCAAGACATTAAAAAAATGGAGGTGTCTTTCAACAGTTTGGATGTCATGTATGGCCATATCCTTTATTTCCACCATTCTTATCAACCGGATGGGGAGATATTGTCTTTATCTCGCAAACCCATAATGTGGCAATCGTCCATTAGAAAGGTAACGTACGTTTTGAAAATCTTGGCAAATATTGAATGGGTAATGACGCCTCTAAAAATAAAATTAAGTTATCTGAAAGAATCTCTCATAAAATAAAATAAGAAAAATTAATGAAAAGAGCTTAAAAACTTTGAGTTTTAACTATAAGAACAAAATAAAAAGTAAAGTGAATTGTACCAAGTTTGACTTTTTAGTGTAAAAATATGATTTTTTGTTAAAGTGAACAGTATCGTAGACTTTTCGTTAAAATTTCCAATAAAGTAACAAAATAATCAACAAAAGTACCAGTACACCAAATTGGACATTTTTCAGCGTTGAAATGAAATATGAAAGGAGATCAAGTTGATATTATTCATCCATTTTTTTTTTTTTTGAATAAACGATATTGTCTATATTAAGAAGAGGAAGTTGGTTAAGTCTCACAATGAGCTAGCAATAACATGGTTCAAATTTGCATTTGACGAGAATCAAACCTAAAACTTCTTGCTTACAAGTAAAAAGAAATATTATTAGACCGTAATATTATTCATCTGCTTTTAAATAATGAATAATCAAGAAAAACATTGCATGGGGTTCCCCTCTCGTCACTTACCACTAGTGGCCATCACTTCCCTAAGCAAAAGAGATATTTCCAATTGCTTGACCAAAACAAGCATTGACTTGGCTGTCCATCCATCAATAATAGGTCCACATCTCAACCCAAATATAATGACGTCAAAAGAGAGGGGAAAATGAGAAGGAAACTCTGGAGGGTAGAGGGAAGGAAAGGGAGAAAAGGAGAAGGGGAAGGAGGAAAATGAGAGGAAATGAGGGGAAAATGGGAAGGAAACTCTGAAGGGTAGAGGGAAGGAAAAGGAGAAAAGGAGAAAAGGAGAAAAGGAGAAGGGAAAAGTAGAAAGGGAAGAAGGAAAATGAGAGGAAAATTCGGAGAATAGAGAAAAGGAGTAGGAAAAAGAAGAAAAGCGGAAAAGAAGGGAAAATGTGAAGGAAGCTTAGGAGGGTAGAGGAAAAGAGGGAAATGCATAAAAATAAAAAATAAAAAATCGTTATGTCTACTGCCGGAAGGGAGCAAATTAGCAAAATGCTCCCAACTTCCCTTGTTTCTTACGTTGTAAATTATATTTCGTATAATGAGAAACCAATATTCCTACTCCGAGGATACAGACACAACTTGCCGAATTTCGTTACTATACAACAAGCCTATAACTACACAACAATTCGATCAATCACCTTAAGTTCAACCATACATGTACCAAGATTCAAGTTTTTCAAACTTTCGTTATGAAACTAACTGAACATTACAAGTGCCACATTATTATGTGGTTATATCAAATTTTAAATTTTGTCTCATAACCACATCATCTTTAAGACAATCAATCTTGTAGTTGAATATATAAACTTTCGATATGGTGATATTGGAAACACTAGTTGGTGGGTTGATTGGTAGAAATGGTTTCAACAATTCAAGAACGACAAATAAGCATTGAGCAACGATCAAAATGTGTTTTATTTTATCACAAAAGATGTTTGTGCAATTAGAAATGCATTTTATCACAAAAAGATGAGCAACGATCAATATAATTGTTATTTATAAAATCACACATAAAATAAGAAGTAATCTTTACTTTTTCTTTTCATGTCTGCCACTAGCGGCCGACCATGACTTAAAGAAATGCTTTTTGGGTCAATGGATGGGAACGGCCCATTTTATAATATTGTTTGTAAATTTTTCTGGAAGTAGATGGAAATGATCCAATTACATATTTCTCCTGCTCACAGACATTTGCATTGCACGTAGCAAACACCAGTTTTTTTGTTTGAACATCGATCCACATCAATGGCTCTTGTGAGAACATCTCCAGGAACCTCCTCTAATTCCAACACTTTTCGGGGTTATCGCTACGACGTGTTCTTGAGCTTCAGAGGCGAAGAAACTCGCAAGACTTTTACCGACCACCTCTACACAGCCTTGAACAACGCAGGATTTCTTACGTTCAGAGACGACGACGAACTTGAGAGAGGAGAAGATATAAAGCCAGGACTGCAGAAAGCGATCCAGCAGTCACGAACTTCTGTTGTCGTGTTTTCGAAAGATTACGCGTCATCCAGTTGGTGTCTTGATGAGCTTGTGCTGATCCTTGAACGCAAGCGGACCACCTCGGACCATGTAGTTTTACCAGTCTTCTACGATGTCGATCCGTCCCACGTGAGGAAGCAGACAGGAAGTGTTGGAAAAGCATTTGCTAGAAGCCAGAAAAATCAGTCGTTGGAAAAGGTGGAGGGATGGAGGAAGGCACTTGCAGAGATTGCAGATCTAGCAGGCATGGTCTTACAAAATCAAGCTGATGGGTAACTTTCATTATCTTCATTTCTCTTCTCTTTCTTGGGTCAATTTGATGTATGATCCGTAGTGACCTAGATTTTTATATATTTATTAATTCAATCTCAGTAGCGAATAATAATCTCAATTTAGGTAAACTTAAAGAAATCACACTCTACTCAACTCAAGGATTAGTCATTTTCCATGTTAATCTACTGGTTTCCAGTTGCTTAAAGATTTTTGAAAGCTGGTGTGGAAAAAAGTTAGGATGTGATCTGTAATGTATTTGTCTATAGTTCGTATAAATTATGCAATGTATTCCATTTTTTTTAGGAAAACTAATAAAAAAAATGTTTGAGTTTTAACGATAAGGGCAAAATAAAGGGTAAAATGAATAGTATCAGGATTGACTTTTTAGTGTAAAAATGTGATTTTTCGTTAAAATCATCAAGAGTTTTTTGTTAAAGTTTTTTTTTTTTTTTTTTCAATTTAATTTTGTCAGCAGTCCTCTTTTTGCTTAAATATTTTTGAATTCTGGTGTGCAAAAAAGTTAGGATGTGATTTGTAATGTATTTGTCTATAGTTCGTATAAATTATCGGATGTATTCTTTTTTTTAAGAAAACTAATGAAAAATGTTTGAGTTTATCGATAAGGACTTAGAAAAACTAATGAAAAATGTTTGAGTTTTAACGATAAGGACAAAATAAATGGTAAAATAAATAGTATCAGGATTGATTTTTTATTGTAAAAATGTGATTTTTCGTTAAAGTGAACAGTACCGAGAGCTTTTTGTTAAAATTTATTTTTTCTTTTTTTTTTCCAATTTAATTTTGTCAGCAGTCCTCTTTTTACTTAAATATTTTTGAAAGCTGGTGTGCAAAAAAGTTAGGATGTGATCTGTATTGTATTTGTCTATAGTTCGTCTAAATTATGCGATGTATTCTTTTTTTTTAGGAAAGCTAATGAAAAAGGTTTGAGTTTTAACGATAAAGACGAAATAAAGGGTAAAGTGAATAGTATCATAATTGACTTTTTAGTGTAAAAATGTAGTTTTTGGTTAAAGTGAACAGTAGTGAGAGTTTTTTGTTAAAGTTTCTTTTTGCTTTTCTTTTTTCAATTTAATTTTGTCAGCAATCCTCTTTTTTTTTTTTTTTTCCTTATTTTAACAAAGGCAATCAACATATGTTTTAATTATCTAATTTCCCCAATTCCTTTTTCATTTTGTTTGCAAAATCAAGCTACTGGTTTCCAGTTGCTTAAATTTTTTTCAAAGTTCGTGTGGAAAAAAGTTAGGATGTGATTTGTGATGTATTTGTCTATAGTTCGTATAAATTATGCGCTGTATTCCTTTCTTCTTCTTTTTTTTTCAATTTAATTTTGTCAGCAGTCCTTTTTTTTCCTTATTTAAACAAAGGCAATCAACATATGTTTTAATTATCTAATTTCTCCAATTCATTTTTCATTTTGTTTGCAAATTCTTAGGTACGAGTCAAAGTTTATCAAAAACATTGTTAAAGTGATAGGAGACAAGTTAAGTCGCACGCCATTGAGTGTTGAACAAAAATTGATTGGAATTCAATCTCAAGCCAAACACATCAATTTGTGGTTACAAGATGGATCAAGTGATGTTGGTATATTTGTTATGTATGGCATGTCTGGAATAGGGAAGACAACCATTGCAAAACATGTTTACAATTCAAACTTCAGAAGCTTTCAAGGAAGTAGTTTCATTGAAAATATCAAAGAAACAGCAGATCAACCAAATGGCTTAGTTCAAATACAAATGAAACTTCTTTGTGATATTTTGAAAGGCAGAGAAGTGAAAATACACAGTGTTAGTGAGGGAATAATTAAGATTGAAGGGGCCGTAAGCACTAGAAGAATTCTACTTGTTCTTGATGATGTTGACCAAATGGACCAATTAGATGCAATCCTAAGGATGAAAGATCAGTTTTATCCGGGAAGTAAGATACTAATAACAACTAGGCGTGAAAGGTTGTTAAAGCTAGATCAAGTTACAGAGGTGCACAAAGTTCAAACTTTGGATTACAATGAATCATTAAAGCTTTTGAGTTGGCATGCTTTTGGCCAGGACCATCCCATAGAAGAATACATGGAGCACTCAAAACAGCTAGTGCAACATAGCGGCGGACTTCCATTAGCTCTAAAGGTTTTGGGTTCTTCTTTATCAGGGGAAAGTATAGATGTATGGGAAAGTGCATTGGAGAAGCTAAAAGTTATTCCTGATGGTCAAATCATGAATAAACTAAGAATAAGCTATGAAAGTTTAAAAGATGAACATGACCGGCAATTATTCCTCCACATTGCTTGTTTCCTAATAGGAAGGAACAAAAGCTACATTGTTAGAATACTCGATGGATGTGATTTCTATACAATCATTGGCATTCAAAATCTCATTGACAGATGCTTGGTGACACTTGATGAATATGGCAAGGTGGAAATGCA